TGCCTTATTTAGTTTTGTTCTTTATAATTCTGAAAATAGAGTATATATTTATAAGTAGAAATACTTTTGACCAAATTATGAAAAAATATATAAACAATCTTCCAAAAGCCAAACAAAAAAAAAAGCATTAATAAACCACAAGTTATTAAATTAAATAAAGACAAATTTGTTAAATCTACAAGATAATTCACTCTATAATAAAAACTTATAGTCTTGGGTTAAAAGCAAATTCATACTTGAAAAAATTTTGCTAGAGGACTACAGAGTAATTGTTAAAGCCACAGACAATTTTGTATTAATAGTTAAAAAGTTTTATAATGTTTTATATCAAATTTATAGTAAAATAACTTAGCACAGCAGTTAAAAACAAACATGGAACTTGGTTTATAAAAGATAAAGATTTTTTAATCAAAAAATCATAAAAAAGTTTGTAAACAATTGTATAGCATATATAGTAAAAAAGCTAGCGTTTCACCCTTTGGCAGTAAAACCTATAATTGCTAAGAATTTTTTGTCTAGAATACAGATAGATCTTATTGATTTATCCTATATTTCTGATAGAGAGTACAAATATATATGTTATATAAGAGACCCATTTTATAAGGTTTTCATAGGTGAAGTCTCTTATATCAATAAGACTAATTGAAGTTGTGTCTTTTTTCTTTGACCTTTTTTATATAATCAGATTATCTCTGACTATATTGTAGTTAAATAATAAAAAAGAGTTTGTAGCATAAGTAATCAAAGAACTAATCACACTATGGCTATCAGTAAAGATCATAAATAGGCATTCAAGATATCTTCAATTGCAAGGTTTGGTGGAATGCATAAATGGTATTTTAGAGCAAAAGCTAGGTAAATAGAGAAAAACTACTAGCCAAAATGATTGGTCATTCAGTTTGAGATTTGTAATAGTTACTATGAACAATTTATAGTGCAGGTCTCACAAAAATACACTATGAATTGGTATATAGAGATAAGCCCCATAGTAATTGTATTCTGATAAATGAACTTTTTAATAATAATGTTTTTAATGAAGAAGAGATACTAGATACAATTAAAATCCCTGATGTTTGATTATAAAGTAAGCCTGAATGATGATATAGCAGGTATTAAAATCAATTAAATTAATATAGTATTTTTATTTTTACAGAATTTTACTCTTTTTTTTAATAAACTATTTTAGATTTTTCTTCTGACAACAGTAATGATTCAGAACTATTACCTGATGGTATTGTTAGCTCTTCATCTTTGCCCAGAGGCTTTGTGTTTTTGCCCAGAAGTTCTGCATCATTATATAATTATGATAGTAGTTATACTATGCTTTCTTTTAATAACTATATAATTATTTGTTGTAGTTGTATATGAAAAAAACTATTTATTGTGAGTGCATATAAAAAGAATAAAAAAAAATAAAAAGGCTTATCTTATGGATATAGTGTTAAAAAGACAACTATGATAATTATATGCAAGAAAGAGGCATATAATAAATAATAGGCTGATATTATTTTCTAACAATAATGTTTTGCTTCTAATAACTGTAGTTTAGTATCTTTGTCTAATAATTGTGGTTCTGTATCTTCGCCTAATAATTATAGCTTTGTGTCTTTATCTAATAACTATAGTTTGATGTCTTTGTCCAATAACTGTAGTCTAATATCTTTATTTCAAAATTATGTATCTTTATATAATAATTATAGTAGTTATACTGTGCTTTTTTCTAATAACTATATAATTATTTATTGTAGATGCATATGAAAAAAATATTTATTGTGGATGTATATTGAAAAGAAAAAAAATAGAAAGGCTTATCTTATAGACATAGTATTAAAAGGGACAACTGCAACAATTATACACAGAAAAGGATACATAATAAATGATAGACTAGTATTATTTTCTAATAATAATATTTGCTTCTAATAACTGTAGTTTAGTATCTTTGCCTAATAATTGTAGTTCAGTGTTTTTGTTGGCTCTGTATCTTTGCCTAATAATTGTAGCTCTGTGTCTTTGCCTAATAATTGTGGTCTAGTGTCTTTATCTAATAATTGTAATCAGGTGTCTTTGTTTTAAAATTATATATTTTTATATAATAATAATAGTTATACTGTACTTTCTTTCAATAACTTTGATAATTATTTATTGTAGATACATATGAAAAAAGTATTTATTGTAGGTATATATTAAAAAAAAAAATAGAAAGACTTATCTTATAGATGTAGTATTAAAAGAGATAATTGTAACAATTATGCGTAAAGAAGAGACATATAATAAATAATAGACTAGTATCATTTTCTAACAATAATATTTGCTTCTAATAACTGTGGTTTAGTGGATTTATTACAAAATCCCGAAAGACAAATTTCTAAAAGAATCTAATACTAACAAAGTTAGCTAGTATTAGTTATAATGCTAGCCAATTTAGTTGATATTATATTCTTTCAAAAAAATAGTTTTCAAGATTTTGTTGTAGAACTGGTTTAGTATCTTCACCTAATGATCATGGTTCTGTATCTTCATCTAATAATTGTAGCTCTGTGTCTTCACCTAATAATTGTAGTTTGGTGTCTTTATCTAATAATTGTAATCTGGTGTCTTTGCCTCAAAATTATATGTCTTTATATAATAATAATGGTAGTTATACTATGCTTTCTTTCAATAATTTTGATAATTATTCATTGTGGATGTATATAAAAAAAGTATTTATTGTAGGTGCATATTGAAAAGAAAAAAAATAAAAAGACTTACCTTATAAACATAGTATTAAAAGGGACAACTGCAACAATTATGTATGAGAAAGGGATGTATAATAAATCATAGCTAGTATTATTTTCTAACAATAATGTTTTGCTTCTGATAACTGTAGTTTAGTATCTTCACATAATAATTGTGGTTCTGTATCTTCACCTAATAATTGTAGCTCTGTGTTTTCGTCTAATAATTGTAGTCTGGTGTCTTCATCTAATAATTATAGTCTAGTATTTTTACCCCAAAATTATGTATCTTTATATAATAATAATAGTAGTTATACTGTACTTTCTTTCAATAATTATGATAATTATTCACTGTGATACATATAAAAAAGTATTTATTGTGGATACATATTGAAAAGAAAAAAAAAACAATATACTAGTATTATTTTCTAACAATAAAGGTTTGCTTTTTCTAACAATTGTGGTTTAGTATCTTTACCCAATTACTGTAGCTCTGTATCTTTGCCTAATAACTGTGATTTTGTGTCTTTGCCTAATAATTATGGTTTTGCATCTTTGGTCAATAATTGTAATCTGGTGTCTTCACCTAATAACTATGATCTAACGTCTTTACCTAATAACTATAGTCTAATATTTTTACCAAATAACTATGATCTGCCTTCATACAGCAATAGTAATAGGTTGTTTAAAATCTTTATATGTTAATTATATTGATTTTTAGAAGATATAATAGTTATTAAAATATTAAACCTAATTTTAGCTTTTGCTAATATAACAAATAATTATACAAATTCTGAGTGATATGAAATATTATGTAAAGCAGCATGGTGCAACCTTCAGGATTATATTGATAAAATATCACATCAAATAAAGGTTGTTAATTTTAAAGTTGACTTCATAAAAACAAATATTCCTAGGATTGATTGATTTGGTATTAATTGTCCTACTTTACCTTGCAAGATTTTAGAGAAAATTGACAAAAATTGATATTGATTAGGTTGTAAATTTGGTGTAATTAACATATGTTACATCTCAGATGAGCTTGAGACACTTGAAGCTACCACCTATACTGAACTTAATAACATTCTCTTGAACCAATTATCTATACGTGAAGCATCAATGCTTCAGAATGTAGGAATGGTATCTAGTTCTATTTGTAACTGCAAGGTTAATTGTAATAGTAAAAAGTGTAAATGTAAAAAAGCAAACACGAAGTATACAAGCTGTTGTCATAGTGGTCATGCTTGTTTAAACAAAGAATAATGCATATACTGTATGCTAGTTTATTTTTTTATTAATAAAATGCGAATTTTAAAAATCACGAATAAAAATTATAGTAATTAAACATGTGATTTTAATAGTGTGTCGGTTTACATCCTACGCGTCTCAGATTACAACCGACGCACGTCAGATGACCAATCATCAGGTGACGTGCGTCACTTTGAAATCGGCATCTGAAGTGCGTCGGTTTAGATCCGACGCGAGAATCGATCTGAGGCACAACATTAATACAAAATTTATTTTTAGTAAATATATAAATCTAACAGGCATCCGACTTACTTTAGACTTCGTGGTAACTTATCATGAAGTTTAAAGCCAGATTAGAGTAAAAATAGATTTTGTAATTAAAGCATAATACTATAAATCGATAGATTCAAAAACTTGAAAATCAAGTTTTTGTTTGATTTTGCCGAGCACTATTTGGCTGAAGATCATTAGTACTTGAACCTTCGAATATTCATAAACAAATCTCGTAATGCAGTAATGAAATAGTAATTATCCGAATGGATACTTGCGTATTAACTAACATAATTCTTCGAACATGCTCGTTAGATTGACTTAGCTGGAACAATTATTATGTTCAAAATTTGTGTTCAAAATTGCATTTATGTAAATCTAATTAAAATAAAATTAAGCAAATCGTGGTATACACCCTACATAAAAGCCATACAAAATAATAGTTTTATAATTCAACCCGTCAAATTTTGAAAACTTTCAGAAAATTTTTATAAAATTAAAAAACGGTCTGGTTTAATATTTTCATATTTTTGCATCGTCTAATAGCGCTCTACAATTTTCAAAAGAAGCATTACGCATAATCAAGATATTTCATGTTCTTGGATATGGGGTTTCGATGATCTTTGGAACTTGGGATCACATGTCACGAAATTTACTGCAGCGGCTGTGGCGCGGATCATCTGACCCGCACTTTTGGGGTCGCCCTGGCTAATTCCGCCATCAAACTGGCACACACCCAGAAACAGCGACTGGGACTAATAAATCACTTTAATATTGCGTAAAGCTTTGAGACTGGTATCCGGATTGAGATCTAATTTCAAAATCTTGACTCAAAATAGTATCATCACCCTGACTTTTGTAATCGTCTAAATATCCGATTGAACTGTCTTGAGACATGATAGAACCATGACCCAAAGAAGAATTAGAGTTCTCTATCATTCGAATACGGTCAGATTGTGATAATGCGAGACTCATTGATCCTTGACTACTATAAGCATTCTGAGTAAGAGGGCCTTGAGATGAAAGCGAGTGTGAATAACCATTATATGTTGAGTTTTGTTGTTGTTTGGCGTTCTTTCTGCTAGAAACACTGCTCTGTGATAAATCTTGAGTAAAAGGTCCATTAGGTGTAGGAAGTAACGGGATACTAAATTGAGATGACGCTGGAATTGAGCTCATGTCTGATGGAATATAACCGACGGGATCGTGTGTCCTAATAAAATCGGAATCGTATGATCTGGCACCACGACGATCTTTATATAAATAGGAATGTTAGAAATAGTATCATTAAAAGTATCATTAAAAATGAATAGTGATTACAAAATATATAAATTTACTAACTTTCGCTAGCAAGAGGTGGCTTTGCAAAAGCCTCACGTGCATCAATCTGGTGAGCCAAGCCTTGTCGAAATTTATCGTCCTTTCGATAGGCTCTACGAGGTCGACTAAATTGTATCATGCTAACTTTCAAATTATTTAAAGGACCCTCCACTAGACAATCTTTTTCTTTATAGTGTATAAGAAGATGGTGCCATAAAGGATGCTAATGTGGTAAATATGAAAAGAAATAATATTATAAATATTTCATCGAACTAACTTTTGATAATTATCTTGTCTCACCTTACTTAAAACCTTTGGATTTCCTAAAATTACAACACCATAACGTGCTCTAGTTAAGGCCACGTTCAATCTTCGAGGATCGTTTAAGAAACCAATTCCTTGATGTTCATTACTTCGAACACAACTCAAAATTATATAATCTTTCTCACGTCCCTGAAATGCGTCAACACTGGCAACTTCAATCTCCTTGTATAGATCTTTTCGCAAAGAACCATTAAATTGCATATAACTGACAACATAACTGCGTTGTCCTTCATAAGGAGTAATAATCCCAATTTGAGTGGGTAATATTCCTGATTTTAAAAATTTAGTAACAACTTTTTCACAGTTCGAAGCCTCCGTTCTAATAAAATAAATAAAAAATAAATAACGGGATATTTTAATTAAAAATTTAATTACGTGTCAAATATTTTTATATTTACCGATTCAAATAAGATGTGCCACTGCTAGAAATTTCTTCTTGTCCCAAATTTGAGTGAAAGAACATGGGCGTCTCTGGTGCTGGCCACGGGAAATCAACGTGTTTACGAAGACGTTCTTGGGTCGTGACACCATTTTGCAAGGACCCCTCATAAAACATGTTGCTTGGAAATTCAGATAAACATGGATGCATACGATATTGGACTTGCAGACGAATAGGTCGGATTCCTAAAATAACAAGCCGTTCGAAAAGTGATTGGCATAAACCAGCTCGAGCAGCCTTTTTTGTTCATTATGACAGGACCAAGCTGTTGGTGATCACCAACAAGAACGGCTTGCTTGCAACCGAGAACAAGTGGTATCATACATTCTGGTTCAGTTGCTTGTGTAGCTTCATCAATCAACACAGTACGGAACTTGAACTTGGATAAACGCGGATCTCCGGCACCAACACATGTGCAAAGTATAACATCAGCATTCTATTTACGTGAAATAGAGGCGAAACCATTATTATTCTCGAATATAAATTTCCTTTTTATCTTTATCTTGAAAATATATGTATATACGTGTTTTTGTTTCGTACCTGTAAAATCTCTCTTTCACATGCGCGTTTCAACACTTTATATTTTTTCTCATCAGAACTACTTAATTCACCTTGTTCAGTCTTTAATTGAATTAACTTTTGCAATTCAACATTGGTATCGTTATTATGTACTTGTTCATGTAAAGTAAGGAATGACACGGGTGAATCTAGCGCTTCACGCGATTTCGCGGTGAGACGAACTACTTTAAGTCCAGTTGCGTGAATTTTTTCAGTCAATTGATCGACAGCAACGTTTGATGGTGCGCAAACTAAAACTTGACCAGGATTCATTTTGGCAAGATGATAAACGATAGTAGCCGATGTGACGGTTTTTCCAGTTCCTGGTGGACCTTGGATAAGACTAAGAGGTTTTTGTAGAACGCTTTTTACAGCATATACTTGTGAATGGTTCAACTCTGGCAAGTTTGGGGCGGAAAATCTTGTTGGAATAAAGTACATACAATATTAAACGAAAAATTAGAAAATTCTATAAATGTATGAATGGTAACATACAAACCTCTTTGGCATTTGGGTTCTCAAAACTTGTGGTTCTACTTCATGACCTAAAAGCTTGTGATATATATAGCCACTTACTGAAGTCTCATCAACCGCAAATGTTTTCATAGCTGCTTGCATTCTGTCAAAACTAGTTGACTTCCAAACAAAATCTACCGAGAAATTATGTGTACATTCTACCGGAGTATTATCATTTCGTCGTAATTCCAAACCAACTTCATCACTAACATCTAAATATAATATTCATATACCAAATGTAAATTGATTATCAACACATCGGACACGTAATAGTCACATGATCACTTACTATTCGGAATCTTAATGACATGTCCGACGCACTCCCATGATTGGTGCAATTCACCTCTATATCGAAGCCTCAACTCGTCGCCAACAGCCAAACGAACCTCTAAAAATCCCATTAATATGTAAATTTTACTAATAATTGCAGTAAGAATTTAATAAATAGCATATAAATGACAGGTTGAATACCTCCGGATTCTAATTTTGGTAAATAAAACCATGCTATACGTTTTTGATTCAAACCAATATCCCAACGAACAACAATATCATCCTGAGTCTGAGATTCCTTTAATTTCTTATCATAATCAGCTTCCATTTTAACCAAAGGTCCAAAAATATTTTGATATTGATAAGCATCTTCATATCTTTGAAACAAAAATTACAAAAAATGTTAAAATCATATTAATGGATATTAACAACCTCAAATAGTATATAAAGATAACATTACCTTAATAAGACAGGTTGTGGTTCATCATCAATACCAGGTTTTTCTAAATCCTCAAGTGTTGCTTCTGAGTTATCTTTCCACAATTCCTCAAGTTTGTTGATCTGATGTGCTGTGATCTGCCGAGCACGAAGCTGCTCTTGCTCGCTAGGAACTTTAACAAGCCATGGAAGGAAACATCGATCGTCTATAAGAGGAAGCCATTGAGAAGTATCCCAATTCATATCTTTACTACTTGGCATTGCGGCACACGGTTGACTATTATTTATATGTAAAATAATCAATGGCTTATAATAATAGAGTTATTAAACTGTCACGTATATTTTCAATCAATACTTACCGACAAAGTAATACGACAACAGTATCGCTTTTTGCAGGAATAAATCCAAGTAAAAAAACATTTCTACATCCACAATTGTAACATTCAAGTGTAGTTTCACCAAGTGTCGAGTCAGGGTGTAAAGCAACTTCTTTATGTTTAGCTCGAACAAGATGATTAATTATATGAGAACCCGAGGTATTTCCTCGCGAATTACAAAACCACTTGCTACATGTAACACATCTAGCCACGGAGCTCACTGCGTGTATTCCGCAGTACCTTAAAAATGTCGAAAATCAAATTATATTAATGAAACAATTTAAAATCATAAATCTTCACGTAAATCTGCACTTTGAAAAAGGTGAACGGGTACCTGCAAGCATGTTCCGGTAATTCTCTTTCAACAATTGTTAAATCTTGAAATGGGTCAATTTCGTCGACTCCTGTTAAATCAGGCTCAATAAACTGTGATTGTGAACCGTCAAGAGTTTGTTGAGAATTTAAAGTTGAGTCAAGGGAGAACTCATTGTAATCATATTGAGACGCCTGAGTATCGCCACCAGAGTATTCAAGAAAAGAAAAATTTTCATCCTGAGTGTTTTGTGCGTTAAACCGATCCATGTTAAATCGATGCCAAGGGTCTTGAAAAAAAAATAACAACAGTCCAGAAGTGTCAAGCTTTCATACGTATATATACTATTAATCATGATCATACTACGTTCCACAAACCAAAAACTCCGGACCATTTCGGAAAACTTATATTTTCGCGAACGTGCATAAAAGTTGTACAAGTTGAACAAAGTAATTAACATAACTCAAACAAACTCTAGCTTTGAAAAAAAAAAAAAAAAAAAAAATGGAAGATCAGGTTGATGGACGAGACGATCGCGCAGGCAATGAAGAAATGACCAGCAAAGACTATTATTTTGATTCTTATGCGCATTTTGGTGTGTACGGTAAATTTTTATCACTTTTTATATTTTTTTTTCTTAATATTTTTTACCAATTTTAAGGGATTCATGAGGAAATGTTGAAGGATGAAGTGAGGACACTTTCTTATCGCTCGTCCATTTATCAGAATCGCCATCTCTTTAAAGATAAAATTGTGCTAGACGTTGGCTGTGGAACTGGTATTCTGTCGATGTTTGCCGCAAAAGCTGGTGCCAAACACGTTTATGGGGTAAGATCCCATATAGTCATTGGCTTGTTTGAATCTTGATTTCGGAGCAGAATTTGTTTCGGTAACATTTTATTACCTTAGATTGATATGTCAAATATTATTGATCAAGCGCGTCAGATCATAATTGATAACCGTTTAGAAAATAGTAAGATCTTGCATGACTATTATCGAATGGTTAAACGTGATAATTGATCATCTATTTCCTCGCTAGATATTACGTTGATCAAGGGCAAAATGGAAGAAGTCGAATTACCGGTTGATCAGGTAGATATTATCATATCAGAGTGGATGGGTTATTTTTTACTGTACGAATCTATGTTGGATACCGTTTTGGTTGCTCGGGATAAATACTTGGTAAGTTCACAAACAAGTTAACAATACAATATTAAGACACAATTACTCATAGCATTTATATACAGAAACCCAATGGTCTCATATTTCCCGACAAAGCGACAGTATATCTGGCTGCTATCGAAGATGGTGATTATAAAGAAGAAAAAATTGGATGCAAGTAGTGTTATTTACTTATTAAATTAAATAATAATAATAATCGTTTAATAATAATAATAATCATTATAAATACGTATCTCTTTAGTTTGGGATAATGTTTATGGTTTTGATTTCAGCTCGATTAAATCGGTCGCTCTTAAGGAACCCTTAGTAGACACGGTTGATAGTAAAGCTATAGTCACTAGTTCGTTTGCTCTTAAGGTAATTTGCAAACCAATTTCTACAAAATTCTTTGCAAAGCATTTTATTTTTATAATTAAGACTTGATAATATTTTTGTAGGAAATTGACGTTTATACTGTTCAAAAATCAGATCTAACATTTTCCGCTCCCTTTAAACTAACTGCCATACGAGATGACTATATCCATGCTTTTATCGCATGGTTTGATATTACCTTTTCAGCATGTCACAAACCAATCCGTTTTAGCACAGGTTTGTTTGTTAATACATTAATTAATTAATACGCGTTTATGCCATTTTTTCAATCACTAAACATTTATGTTTTTTTTCAAAATTATTTAGGTCCACATTCGAAATATACCCATTGGAAACAAACAGTTTTTTATACGACTGATTCTATCACTATCAAGAGCGGAGAAACAGTTATGGGTACGCTAGCTTGCGCCCCTAACAAGAAGAATAACCGAGATTTAGATATCGAAATATCGTACGAATTTACAGGCGAAGCAAGTAGTTGCTCGGAGGCTTGTAAATATAAGATGTGAGTAATATTTTTATTTTTATTTTTTTTAATCAAATTAGTCGATTTTCATGATTTCAAAAATCTTTTTTTTTTTTTTATTTCAAATTATTCATATATACAAATATCGACCCAGGAATTAGGTATTAAATTCATTTGGTAATAATGTGAACATTTAAATACAGTAGTAAATGCGTGCAATACAAATGTATGCTATAGATTTTGTGTATCGCTAAGATTACTAATTTACATGATTCACTATAAAATTTGACAAATATTGAATAAAATTGATCGTCTCTAATTCATAACTTATATACTATCTTACTTAGACTGCAATAAATTTTTTTTTTTTTTTTTTTTGCTTGGACCTATCATCATTAATATTCTTTGGTTAAGATGTAGTTAACCTATCAAAATCAAATATAATTGATTATAGATTATAATCGATGTAACTTTTAAATAAAATAACACACTTTTTTAAATGTAAAAATTTTTTTTATTATATTATTTATTGAATTTAAGCTTTCACAAATCTTAATTTACAATGCTATTAAACACTATCTGCTATTACGTGTATACATCATATATCAAAATTTTTTTTTTATGCATACAAATATATAACATATAAATGTCTAGAAATACGTGTCATCAATAAATAGATGCCAATATATTACAGGTTTTATGATAGAAATCAAGCAATTTAAATTAACATCAAAGCCATGAATTTTGAAAATGATTTTAATATGATCGTGAGATGAAACCACCATTAGGAAAAGAAAGAAAAACCAAATTTTGAATTTTTTGTTATTATTTTTTTTTTTTTCTTTTTTTTTTTTTTTTACATGAAGGATTGTTTTTTTTTTTCATCCATTATTTGTTATGTAACTCAGAAGTAGTTAACATGATATCCCTGGAAACAAGAGTCACAGCTGAATTTTCTAGTGAACAAGTCTTTTTGCCTTCATCCAATGATGATGCCTGCATATCATCTGTATTGAACTTAACTTTGCATTTTTGTTTTACTACGGAATCTTCAATCATACATAAATCTTCATTTCCAAGACAATTATTTCGATCAAATATTCCGTCAAAGATATTATTAATATTGGAGTATTTAATGTTTTTTAAACTTGGATAACGAAAAGCCAATAATTCTTGCTGTTGCTCATATTCCTTAGATTTAACAATTGTAGAATAAATCGGACCCTTAGTTTTATCCTTCCGTTCACCATCTTTTTGAAAGTTGTTAAATGGATCAATCTTACGTAATAGAGTTGAAAAAGAATGTTCTCGTGAATGATTTGATCTACCACCTGGGGAAACCAAAGCAATTCCACTGTCACGATTCTCTTGTATATTTTCACATCTTTCATTATTAATTGCAGATTTTGAGTCTAATTTAATTTCATTATTCAAGTGAGTAGAACAATTAGGAGACATTGGTGTGGAAGGAGTAGAAGGGGAATGTAGTGTAGGACTAAATGCATTGATATTATGGGGAGGTGAGGTAAAATTATTGTGTGTTAACGTATTCATCGTATTCATAGTATCAGCGCTATTCGCTCTGTTACAAGTAGGTTTTGAAATGAAAATTCTTTTTAAAGTTGTTTTAGATCTTCTTAAAGATTTTGATCTTTGAGATGATTGTGAAAGTGATGGAGGTGAAGATGGTTCCACTTTGAGAGATGTGTTATCTCTCTCAAAATATGATGAGAAAGAAGTCCTGATAGGAGAAATTTCAGCTTTATTATCAGTCAAATCATTTATTGGCTTCGATGTATTTTTAAATAATGATTTTATGCGATGTGAACCTTTCATGTTTTTTATTAGCGATTTTAGTGTTGGTGATGTTGGTGATGTTGGTGCAGATGCAGAATAAATATTGCAGGATTCTGATAAATCATTGTCTTCAATGGGAGGTGGAGATGATAATGGAGTAGAAGTAGGTTTATTTATCGGTATATGTATGACTTCTGGTATAACAGATGGAGTATCTTTAGGTAGAGATAAAGCAAATTTTTCCTGAGCAGCTTTTGTTTCCATCCGCATTTGTGTTTCAAGGGCTACCAACTGTTTTTGAAGGTCCACATATACCAATACTAAATGCGTTTTTGTTTCTCTTGCTGATGGTCCCTGTAATTAATAAATTGAAGTATAAATATTAAAAATAATTCTAATGGAAGATAATCAAATATTCATCGTTCGGTTGTTTTTTTTTTGATTTTTTTTTTTTTAATTTATTTTTTATTTTTAATATCAAAGCATTTATCATAAAAACTGTACTTGAAGTTCGTTTAATGATCAATTTTTAATTTAATTATTAACTATTTATTATATTGACAATAGAGTCACAACACCTAATTTAATACTTGAATCTACATCGTATTAGCATATGTTCGAGACATACCAATGTGGTGTGAAGCTTTAAATTCTCTTCGGTAAGTTGACTTGTAAAAGTTTTGGAATTAATGCTATTTCTTCCATTTCGTTGAAGTCGTGATGGCAAAGCATTTGTAGTAAGAGGTTGTTCGGTCATTGTCTTAAGTATGGTATATAAAATAATGCTTTTTTATCTTTTTTGCAGTCAGGCAAAAAAAGTAAGAGTATGAAACATATGAGAGATTTTTTTTTTATGCCATTATCCGTCTGTGCAGAATTGTTTTTCAGGGTGACATTAATATAAATATAACGTAAACGTCTCACCTAAAGGGCGACCTCGTGCATGTACGTATGTACATATAGGGTATGAACATTATCCTATTGACGTTAAGTGGACGTGACATATTACATTATAATTACATTAGTAGAGATATTAGAGGTGTTGTAATGTTACTTTCGTGTGGGGTGATGATGATCAAATGACATAAATAAATGTTACAAGACCTTCTATCAGTCACTAATTTGTATAATTACAATGTATTATTACGTATTCTTATTGGACAGTGGTCAATTATTATCACAGACTTCGACTTCAATCATTTGTTGCTAAAAGAAGCTTTTGTCAATCATTTATTTTTAATTGGATTTTTTATAGCAACATATACAGTAGCTCGCATAGCAATAAATTGAACTTTTCGAGTCTATATTTTAGATTTAAATTTATACTATTTAAAGAAAATTGATTTATATGTACACAGCTTCCAAGATTTATCGACTTCTGTCACGTGATAGGATGTATGATGATATCTGTAAATTCTCGACTATATCGATATAATTGGTTTTGGAGAAATTTCTTACAGTATCAGTATATTGGAATATATCAGATTCATTTTAGAAGCATTAGTTTAATTTGAGGAAAAATTCAATAAAGTATCTTTTAACAACGAAAATTTCTAGACAACTACTTATCGATATCGACGATAACCTTTTTTTTATCATTATATGGTATATATCGATATGTGATAGAATTCTTTTGGTAGAACCATCAAATTTTAATTACTGAATTACTGAATTACGGTATTTCGTCACGTGACATACCAGTTTCCTGGATGAGCCAGTTGGGTTGAAGCATTTCAAACTCTCAATAGACCACTTCACCGACAGAATCCATCTAAAGGTCTGTTTAAATTTAAAGCTCTGTTAGGAAAATGGCAATTTTGACTATAGACTTTCCTCATTCTAACTCTAACCCTAATCTCGACCTAACTCTAACTTTATCGGAGAAATATTTCTCGATGGAATGGTAAAATTTCGGGGAAAAAAATATTTCGAAATAGTTAAATCAGTACACCTTCATATTTTAGTCAACATCAGGTTTGAAAGTGTTCCCAGTTAGGTTATTTTTATAAATCTGATTAATGAAACTATGGATTTAACGTTAACATTAAAATTAACGTTAAAGTTAAATAAAAACTTTAATTTGTCCATCTATAGGTGGACCCTAATTTGATTGTATCAGGTGTTACTAATTATTTTGAAGGCTATAAATAACGTTCGTTATAAATAAAATTTCACAAAATTTAGTATTATCGTTATACTCCATTTTGTAAACTTGATATTTGTCAAAAAAATCTAATTATAAAAAATGAAATTAATATTATGTGTTATCGTTATAATTATAATATGTATGACCATACAAAATTAATTTTTGCTTCTATAATCCGACCAGTCAATATTTTGAAAAAACTTTTTCACATACATAATATATACCGACATTTAGTTTACTACGTAAAACACATAAGTGGGCTTTAAAAAATTGCCATATTTCAAAAATTAAATCTGATGCTCAACACCCCAAAAAATTTTCTTAACCCTAATTTTAACCTCAAACTTTGTTTTAATCTTTAACCCTAATTCTAATTTTTTTTTTTATGTACTGTACGTACGTACGTACGTATTATGGACATCACAATCATTTTATGGAAATTGCGCCGGTACTGCAATATATACCTAATTTTGCCATGTTCTAACTTTAATGCTATGTAGTGGGCTGATTGCTAAATGCGCTCCGTTATTCGCACACGTGATGTCAATCACTTGAGATTCTAGAACTTTCTTTGGTTTTTATTAGCACTCTGGGCCAATGTATAAAATTCTACGTAGCTTTGCGCTAAATGAATATTGAACAAAACTCTATGTGTGCTATATATATAAATCTTTAAAAGTTGTGTGCGAAAAGAAAAATTTATGTGCGCAATTATTTTAAGCGCATGTTCAATTTTATACACTGCTGATTTGGCTTCGCATGGACCGGCCCATGGGCTTTTTCTGAAGTTAACGATAAATACTCTGTTACATAATCTACTATTATGAAACTTACGATATAATCACGTGCCAAGTCATGTGCATAGCAGTGTTCTATAACTTTGTCCGAAGTTTCTTTTATATTATAACAACTGCAAAGAAAAATAAAATGAATAATTAGTGAAAGACGAACCTATGCTATATTTTTATTTAGTTCGGTAGGTAGGATTAGCATATAGATTATGGTGTTATCATTTAAATAAGCTTTACTTGTCTAAGAGAAAATCGCGTGATGATAAATTAACGGACACCAATTTCCCGTTAATTGTTAATCCATAACCATTAATCTATCCGAACAACGTGACATTACATGTAATAAGTCATGTGTGAATTTTGGTTCATCGAAGTTTATATTGTGACAGCTGTAGAAAAATATAAAGTAAATAATTGATAAAAGTCTAGTCTACCCTATTTTATCTAGTTCAACGGAAAAGATTAGCAATGGTTTGTGATAAATTTTTGAAAGAATCGTCAGGATGATCTTATCGTTTAATATTTAGAGATATGCAATACTAAAATCATTTATTACATGAAGCTTGTGATTTTAAATCAGGATTTGAAACGGTTACGTACTGTATTAAATTTGTAGACTAAAAAAGTAAGATTTTTGTAATTATTGTTTCGTAAGCATACAACTGTTGGAATTTATCACTTTGTAGGACTTAGCCCTTGAAAAATCTACATATTATTACGATAAGTCGTATTATAACGATAAGTGATAAATCAAAGCCAGCACTCATATCTAATAACGATTTTTAATATATGGGGTTGAAATCACATTACGGCGCGTTTGTCAAATTTAACTAATTTTTTGTCCCCAAATTTAAGTTTTGGGGACAAAATTTATTATCGAT